TGTGGAGTTTGTCTGTTTTTTGGTTGATTATGAGGTTCTGATATTGTTGGGTTGGTGCAATCTGTTCATTTAGTGTTTTAATAGGCGAGCTTGATCTCAAGTCTGCGCTTTGGAAATTTCTGGTGTTTCTCTTTGTCAGGGCTGGGCTGTGCTTTCTTGGTATTATTGGATGGTGCAAATTTTAGGTGCTCAATGTTGTAGGTAGATAAATTCTCCTTTTTGAAAGCTGATCGCTTAATTTTTTTCCTCTTGGGTTTGGTTGATTATGTGTCTTGGAATGAAGCGTGACAGGTTGATCTCAAAGTTTTATACCACTTATTAGGATAGATGACCTTGATCATTTGAAGCTCTTTTAATTTGGGGTTTCTGTTGGCTATTAACTTATTAAATGATTTTGGCTCCTACTAATTCTGGGTTGGTGGGAACGCAGAATAAGTGTTAGGATAACTTAGTTTGGTCTTTTGTGTTTTATCCCTTTTTTGTTTATGTAGTATTGCTGGTCCCGTGTCTAACTAGTCTCAGAGAAGTTGAATGCCATCTTTAATAATTCCTAACATTTTTTCTCTTTGCAGTGTTTTGCTTTGATATTTGCAATCTAGCTAGGTTTGGTTGGTGGTTATTATTGTGCTATATAAATAACTTGTTTGTGGTTTTATGGTTGTTGGATTAAAAGTTACACCATCTAAGATTTCTATGTTTTATTTACTTAACATTGGTTTCTGCTCTTCTTGGCAATCATTAAGCCGTTTTTATTTGGTCCCTTTAGTTTCAGCTTGTTTATATTATGAGCTGATTTGGCAGTTTGCTGTCTTAGATGAAATATTTTTACCCTTAGCTGCCACAATCAAGAAATATCTCTTTAATTTCTTTTGTAGCATGCACTGCAATGTTATTTAGTTGGTTATCAGGACAGGGATTAGTCTTTATTTTGGATAGGGCGTTACTTGAAGTTTGCTGATGCCTATTTTTTAGGGATTTTTTTTTTCTTTTCGTTTTTTTGTTCTGCACTTCTGCTGGCGGCCCTTTACGGTTATACCTGTTTCAGACTTTCAGGGTTTATGTTGTCACTTTGTACCATTTTCAATTCTGTCTTTAGCTGTCTTAACTAAGGGAAGATGGGGGTCTTTTGCAGTTTCTTTCAGATTAAGGGTCAGGGGTTCTAATTATTTGAAGGAACTAAGAAGGTGTGATGATGGGGACATATGGGGAGTAGAACAGTGAGGCCTGATGCAGATGTTGAGAACAAAGTATCCAGTGTGATGCTGAGCTTTGATCGGCAGTTAGTTGTTAACAATACCCTGTAAATTCCCTCTTTACCCATTCAATTTATAGGTGAATATTCCACCAATATATGGTCCACTTCGTTTTCTTCTTCGAGTCTTTCCTTTTTGTGCTCATATTTTTGTTGTCCAAACTCTTACATCTCTTGTGTCTTCTTAGTTCAAACATAGAGATTTATTTGCAACTGTTGTTGCAGTTAAGTTACACTCAGTCCCTGTTCCTTTCAAAGAATAATCCTTTTGGTTATCTGGTATTAAACTGTGAACGTCATGTCTTAATGTGTTAGAATAGAGTATATTGAATTATTGATTGGTTTAATTTCTTGTTTGATGGGTACCACTGGAGGGTAGTATATTAAGTGTTTTATGTAGTGAGATATGACACAGTTTGTTGCTCTAAGAACTTTGTTGTGGTGGAGTGCTGTCTTTTAAAAGTGAATTAGGAGCAAAAACTGCATTTGGGCTCTCAATCTTTTTGCCTAGATTCAGAAGACTTAGATTGTAATTTATCCTTTTTTTTTTCTTTTATTTAAGTTTGAATTGAACCCATCATAATATAGCATCAGTGGATCTAGTGTGCCTTAGGTAATTGTTTAATGCAAGACTTCCTGTGTTTCTCTTTGATATAATGCTTGCTGAATTTAAAGCACAAATTTCATGTTAATGTATTGCTTTATGTGTCATCTTCCTTACTTTTTTATTGATTATTCTGGTTTTCAGTGGCACAGAAGGAAGCACAATACATCCATTCTGCATTTCTGATTTTGGAGCATTTGAGCAATATGTTGGATTTCACGTAGAGGAAGCAGTTAACTTAAGTGCAGGTGTGTATTTATTAATTGAAGCTTAGGGTTCAAATTTGGAGCAATCTTTTGTGTTGACATTCTGGTTCCAGTAGCTGTTGTAACACATCCTTTTGAAGGAATGGATTCAATGTGTCTTCCTTTGCATCAAAAGTAGACATATATATCTGGTACTGTCATTGTGCTTGGCACTTTAGTGATAGGGGTTCCAAATACCTTGCTCGGCTTTATTATAAGATGGTAAGTTCTGAGGATAGAATTTTTCCCTTACTCTGACATTATTTTAAAATGCATTGAGCAATGCAGGTGCTGTGTTTAATTCAACAAAAGTGGGTGACCATACAGTTTGTTGTGATCCCCTCAACATTGGCATTTTTGATAAGGTAGAGTTTCTGTAACCTAACAAGTAATGAGGTAGTATTTAGTACTGTTTGCTTCTGTTTAATTTCTGTTTCTTGTCCTTTTTGTTTGAATCAGACACCAAATTCATTCACTGTCAACCCATCAGCTAGTCCAGTCAAGTCTCAGAGATTGGCTTTAGAAAAGGGCCAACAATCAAATCTTTTCTCTATATCTAGCCGTAATACAGAGAACTGGGGTGAGACCAACATGGCTGATGCCAGTCCTAGGACTGATATCTCAACAGATGCAGATACAGACGATAAAAATCAAAGGGTGCAGTCTCTTTACATCCTCTCAATTTTTTTTCTTTTTTTGGCCATCAAAATTCAAATCCTCTCTAGATGTGTCACACTCTAAATTCTGCAACATCTGGATCTTTTAAATTATCTCTTATTTCGCCTTTTATCTGAACTCAGCCTATATTACTCTTGTTCTTTGGGATCTGGACATTCTTTTCTCCATTCTGTCATGACACACATTCTTCATTCTAGCAGCTTAGAAATAAAATTAACGTAACATTTTGGCATCTACCTGTGCAGTTTGAAAGAGGGAAATCCAATGCAATTGTGGCTTCTGATTCCAGTGACAGATCAAAGGATAAATTGGATCAAAAGGTCAGATAGTGTATCATATATCTTGATAATGTCCAAACATACCTAGTCATACTTATGGTCTCTTGCTGCACTGTGCAGACCCTTCGCAGGCTTGCTCAAAATCGTGAGGCTGCAAGAAAGAGCAGATTGAGAAAGAAAGTATGGTTCTTTTTGTCTGTTGAGTGACATTTTTATTTTATTTTTTCATTTGGTTACTTTTTATCATTTTAGTGATATGACTCAGAAATGTCAATACTGTTTGTAGTTTTTAAAGATGGCAAATTTAGGACTAATTTCTGATCTCTTTAGAGATTGGTAGTCAGTTAAAACAGAACTTTGAAAGCACAACAAGATGGCATAAAGAGGAGAGAGTCCAACTGAATATATCTTTATTGTGAAAACATATTTATCCTGGTTCCCATGTAGGCATATGTCCAACAGCTCGAGACTAGCCGTTTGAAGCTGACACAGTTGGAGCAGGAGCTCCAGCGTGCTCGACAGCAGGTTACACTTGGCCCTTAATCACCATCTTCACTGTGTTTTTATTATGTAAGTGTTCTGTCATTCAAGTGTGTGACTTCTATTTCATCTAGGGTATCTTCATATCAAGTTCTGGAGATCAAAGCCATTCGACAGGTGGAAATGGTAATCCTGATTTTTGTACTGATTTTAGTGGGTGGATTTTACTTCCAAGCTACTGGAATGTTTGAGAATGTGAATTTTTTTTTTTTTTTTTTTATACTGATGATTAAGATGATAACTAAATTGTTTTGACTGGTTGTTGGCCTCACTATCTTGTAAGGCACATGTGCAAGCAGGGGCTATGGCATAGGGTGTTTGCAATTTATTTTTTCTCCTTTTGCTCTGTATCTGACTTGCATGCTCCAAAATTTGGTATATCATTCTGCCTCCATCAGTTTCCCTTGTCTTTATAAGCACTTCTCTAATTCTCTTTGCAGGGGCCATGGCATTTGATGTAGAATATTCAAGGTGGCTAGAAGAGCAAAATAGACAAATTAATGAGCTGAGAGCAGCTGTAAATTCCCATGCAAGTGATGCAGAACTTCGTTTAATTGTTGATGGTGTAATGGCTCACTACGAAGAAATTTTCAGGCTGAAGAGTAATGCAGCCAAGGCAGATGTTTTCCATTTATTGTCGGGCATGTGGAAAACACCTGCTGAGAGATGTTTTTTGTGGCTTGGTGGCTTCCGTTCATCCGAGCTTCTAAAGGTACAACATGTGGATTAATGTAACAAATTCTAATGCTAATCGGATTCATATTCCTTGTGATTTTAATGAGTGGATTAGTTAATCCCATACACAACTGATTGCCTATAAGCCTTCCCCCCCCCCCCCCCAACCCCTCCCTTTTCGTTTTTTGAATTTTGACCAATAATCATAATTCAATTCATTGCCTTTGTAGCTTCTTGTGAATCAATTGGAGCCTCTAACAGAGCAGCAGATAGTTGGAATTACCAACTTGCAGCAATCCTCCCAGCAGGCTGAAGATGCATTATCACAAGGGATGGAAGCATTGCAGCTGTCTTTGGCTGAGACATTATCCAGTGGATCTTTAGGTTCTTCAGGATCATCTGAGAATATGGCAAATTACATGGGCCAAATGGCCATGGCCATGGGAAAGCTAGGAACTCTTGAGGGGTTTATTCGCCAGGTAATTTCTTGGTCTCTGTTGCAACATTCTTTTACTACGGTATCCCAGCAGCTTTAGTTTTCCTTTACTCGTTTCTTATTTTTAATTTGTTTTTCTCTGTTTATGAATGTCACGTATATACGATGGCTTCATATTTACCAGGCTGACAATCTACGACAACAAACATTGCAACAAATGCACCGGATATTGACAACACGGCAGTCAGCTCGTGCACTGCTTGCAATTCATGACTATTTCTCACGGTTACGAGCCCTTAGTTCCCTTTGGCTTGCCCGACCAAGAGAATGAGATGCTACTTTAGATGTTACCAGCCTGATATGTGAATTAAAGGATTGTGCTGGGAAATTTCAGAGCCTGAATGTTTTATCATTTCCCAGAACCAGTAACACCTTTCCTGCAGTTAGTAAAAAGAAACATGTCTTTTTTTTCTTCTTTGTTTCTTTTTTGGGTTTCTCATGTTGTAATCTAAGTGTTCGTCTGCATTTGCAGTGCCTAGGATTTTAGAAATTTATGCAAAAACTAATTTGTATTTATATTATTTGTTATTCATATTTTGATTGCTGCCATTATCATCAACATTAGGTACTGCACCTGAAACATGTTGCTGCTGTTATAACAGATTTATCGAGATGGAATTTTAACATTGAATGCAGGACCAAATGGCTTATTTGTTTTGTTGTTGTTGTTGTCGTTGTTTCTTTCTTTCTTTGTCTTTATTTTTTAATCACTTCCGTTTTTGTTTCTGAATTTTTTTTGGGCAAGCAAGAGTATGTATATGCCACCTAGAGTGAAAAACCTATCTTGTCAAAATTTCAGTTAAAATTACCTTGATTTAAGTTACATAACTGTCTTTCATCTGTTCTCTCTGGAAGTCTGATGGAGATACTCCTTTAAATCCCCCACAAAACTAGATTCGTACAAAAATAAACAAACAAAAGAAAGAAACCGGTGCTTATACAATGCACATCCAACCACTGCATCCACGTAGAAGAAAATTAAGGCACTAAACTGTCAATGCTTCCTGCTGGATATGCCAAGCAACTACATCTTTGTATCCCAGATTGCCGCCAAATATATCCAGGGCACTTCCCACTGTAACATCCACACGCCCCAACCCTGCCACTTTGATTCTATGCAAATCTTCAACCGCCGTGACACCACCAGCATAAGTTACTGGGATCTGCCACCAATTAAGGAAATGCATCAACAATTCCCATATAAAAGTAAGGAGGACCAAATAAGGGACCAAAAACAGATGAAAAAAGTATTTGCCACGTACCGGACAGTATCTACCAAGTAATGCCACAAGCTCTTCATCAATTCCCAGCCTGAAATAAACAAGAATTACAAATATAATACACTGGAGGATTGGTTTGCATAGTTGCAATAATAGAGAACAGTCAGGACGGACTTTTTGCCTTCCACATCGACACCATGAACCAGAAACTCATCCGAATAGCTAGCAAGAAATCCCAACACTTCCTCATCAAGGTATACATCAGTGAAATTTTGCCATCTATCAGTGACAATTGCATATTTGCCTTCCTGCATATTAAATCAGCACATGCAGGGGTTAAGAAAAAGGACAATCGTGGAGAAATAGTTTCCTACCAGTAAGGAGTAATTCTTCAAACTTGTTTTAACAGGATTGACTTTTATAGATTAAAGTTCTTGACATCAGGGTATGAAATTGTCTGGCTCTGGCAACAATAGTTAATCGTAGACTCAAATTAGTTTTCTCCATGGATAAAGGGAAAAGAAAACATATCTTGTACCTTCTTTCTGCAGCTAAGGTCCAACACTAGTCTCTGCTTTCCAACAACACGGACGAGATCTTTAAGCCTTTCTAGATCCATTCGCCCATTGTTAAATACATACTGCATAAATCCAAGAAAAATATAAAAAGAAGTGACTCAATCTATAAACTAGAGGAGAACCATTAACTTGGAATTAGTCCTAAATAAGAAAGGGAGAGAAGACATAAACAAGGTGCTGAAGTGAAAATCCGTTTAGCAAGTCTAGCCAGCATTCTCCGTAAGAAACTCTTTTAAATGTATCACTTTTATAGAAGATTATAAATCTATAACATACTGAAGTGACAATAACATGGCTGGCTCCTTCCTCTATGTAACTCAAAGAATTGTCCGAGTTGATCCCACCTCCAATTTGCAGGCCACCTAGATTTTCACAGTCCTCGCAGCAAGTTCAAAAGAGGACACATTCTCAACATAACACTCAAGGAGATTAACTTCTACAAAGTTCAGTACTAGTCTAACAATATCAAAGCAGCTACCAAAACAATCTGAAACTGGGAATATATATATATATATATATATATATGTAAGGCCCCAATTTTACTTAAGAAACAAAAATTTGACATTTAATCAAAGAGTAACAATAATAAGACATAGATATGAGAGAAATGATCAGGTTACCAGGATAGGCATGTAATGCTTCAATTGCTGCAGCTTTGCTTAAAGGGTCGGCTCCAAGCATGATTACATGACCACCCACAAGTCCGTCTTCTCTATATAAACTTGCGAACTCAGCTGCCAACTTATCTGACTCAAAATTCGTCACAAGAACTGATTCATCATCCTTTGAGTCCCTTAAAGTCGACCCAACAATTTGTTTCACTTTCCCTCTGTGAATATCAATACAAGGCCGGAACCGAACAGCACAACGAACAGAAAACCGAGAGTGTTCTGCAAAGAGAAAGAACTTCCAACGTGAAAAAGAAGGAAACTTTGTGAAAATTTAGTACATGACGAATGAATTGGGAAAGAACCGCACTTGGGGAAGGTATGAATGTGATAAAGGAGTGATTTTGAGATCCATTATGAAACAGAGACTTGAAATTTTCGTGGATCGAAGTGATGGTATCTTGGATTGAAGCTGCGCGGAGGCTTCTGCTTCCCATTTTCTTGCCGCGACGGGGAGGAAGAAGGAGAAAGGGGGTGTCAGTGCCCAAAAGAAACGCAGCGTTTAAGGATTTGTTTCAATCGTAGTGTGGGCCGGGAATTGGGTCATGGGCCCATGTTACTGAACTGGATAAGTCTAGCATGGATGTACCTAAAACGGTCCAAGATTTAAAAGGCAAAACAAGGTCACAATATTGTCCGAATTTGGCAATTGAGGACACGATTTTTTCTCTTGTTATTTTTACTTTTAATTTTCAGGTCTCTTGAAAAAGTTAAAATATTATGGTATCTAATTACATTACGGCTGAAAAAGAAATCTAATTATATTACATCCTCCCAAACGCCCTGTAAAGAGGATACACAACAATTATGCAACTTGTAAAGAGTATGAGAAGTGCATGTTCTAAAATCTAAACCCTCTTAGGATCTTTCAGAATTTGTAATGATGTGACAGCCTTTTTTTTTTTTACACCAACCAAGCTTCTAATGTCATACTTAAGTGGGAAATATGAGAACAAGCCCACATTCAATTGATTTTTAAGGTATGTTTGGTTTTGAAGAAAATGCGGGCAAAAAGGGTTTTCCATGTTTATTTAACCAAGACACAGGAAATGTGCTATTTCTTTTGTAATTTTGAGAATTTAAGGATTTAAGAGCATCTACCTTAAAATGGGGCAGTGGAGTATATCCAAAGCATGCAATACTAGTACTACAAGAGACATTTCTATAAGCCTTTTCTACTGGCACTCAGCCATTTCTTCATCATTGAAAACTAACAGCAATGCAATGTAAATTGCCATCTGGTTCGGGCACAAATATGGGTAAAAAGGATACATAAGTTTACCCAAAAGCAAGACATGGAAACAATTCCAAGTTCATTATTATGAAATGAGGAAAGTCTAACACCTGAAAGCAGAAGCTTAAGAGAGGCACTTCTACAAAATATTTGAAGGATCAAACGTAATTGCTGTTATAGAAATTCTTTAGGAAATCCGATATGGCCTGATCCTTAGTGTTCAAATCTTGCACAAGCCCTTGACGACCCACCACATATTGGCCAATGATGTGGTGCCGCTGCTTTGCATGCTCAGCAATGTTGTTCAGCTCTTCCATCCCCTTGAAGAGCAGCAAATCAATCACCTGCAGGGTTTCACTACTATCAAGACAAGGAAACAAAGAAAGCATTTTCAAGCCATAGATACTCACCAGCATTACATTCATATAAAGCTGAACAAAGCTTTCAATGAGTTTAAGCTTATGACCTACACTATTCCATTTTTATGGTTGCTGGAAACAGACGAATCAAATTGTTCGGTATCCAATTAGGTGAAATTATTAGACTGATTACATTTGTAAAACCAAGACACCAAATTAATGTGCTAGTAAAACTGGAATACATTCACCATTTTTCCAAGAGCAAAATTCCCCCAAAACAATATCCTTCACTAACATCCATTCATGATTAGAGAAATCGGGGTATTCATGTTAGATGGTATTTTTTAAAAATACCCCTAAAACAACCTCCTTCACCTTTTATCGTCAAGGAAATAAAATTTGTTCCTTGAAAAAGGAAGCAGTTTGTAACCTGATAAAAATTTTACCTATCATCCTCCAATTTCAGCAAAATCACTGCAATTTTCCACCAAAAAAAAAAAAAAGGATGATGCTTTTGCAGGTTCCGCATTTCAACTTCTCAATTCCTCATTCAGCTCCCAAATAAATATGAACAATGCAGCCATGCTAACAAAATAAATTGGATACAAACAGATGAAAAGCCCTCACTTCCCAAACAAAATTGGAAAACCAATGCGAACTAATTTATTTAAATTCGAAAAAGGATCTTTACACGGAAATTTAGACAGAGAGACTTGACCTTGGAGTTAGTAACGTGGGCGTTCTTGCGGATCTCGGAGGCGATGGTGGACCGGAGCTGAGAGACGGTGACGACGTCGTGGAGGTTGTAGATTTCCATGATGGTCGGTATCGATCTGCAAGCTGACCTGAAGAAGTCGAAGACTCGATTCCTCGCCTCTTCCAGGTTCACCGAGTTCGGCGGCACCTTCACGCTCCTCAGCGTAAACGCCATCTTTGTAATCGGAACTCAACTCGCTCTGACTCACCAAGTTCTGCTCTTGAACCGCTTCTAGAACGGACAAAAGAAGAGAAATTGAAACAAAAAAAAGTTAAACGTCGAGTTTGGACTCGACTTCGAGTAACAAAAGGACTACGTTGCGGTTAAAGCCCAAATTTCAATATTTTTATTTCAAAGCTCTATCTCTAGAAATTTGGGGCCTTGGTCTAACTCAACGGTCATCAGTCCGTAATCTATACTATAAGTTTGTAACACTCGTTGCATTTGCATTGGTTTATTTATAGTCCACAATCAAGTAGCTGATTAGGGAGCTAAGAACACCCTCGGAATTTATCTTTAATTTTTTTGGTATATCAAATGATTAATTATACAATAAAATATAACACTTCCTTTTCAAATCCCTTCTTATAACACTTCCTTTTCAAATCCCTTCTTACTCATCTACAGATTCGAAGATAAAATCTTTAAATATAGAGATTTAGTGTCCGTTTAATGTGATTGAAACTTTTAATAAAAATTTTGTTAAAAAAAATTATTATAAAAATGTTATTTTTGTAAATAAAGAAAATAAAAAATATATATATTAATTTCATTATAACTTAACTGAAAAGCTCCTGTTACTGTAGAAACACCATTTCGGTGCTTTTAAGATTTGTAATGAAATGAATAAAAAAACTAACATGTCCTTATAATTGGACTCACCGCCCACCTCCCAACTCCATAAGTTGCCATGCAATGATCTAAGCTTATGCTAATCTAATAAATTCCTGTATTGTCCAAATAAAAATAAGGGAAAACTATGGAAAGCTTTTTCCCTCATGTACATTAGATTTTTTTTTGAATCTCAACTAAAATGCTCAGTAAATTATAATTTAGCTGCTTGGTACATGCAAATCCAAACGGTCAATAATGTCTAGAGACACTATTAACTGTCAATTGTTCTTAAGAACATTAAATCTAAATTGTTCACAAATATTGTGAATCATGATTCCAAGTTGACAAGTTTTACATTTCCCCGCACTCTGCAATCATGCATGGCAATTTCGGCCTGTTGTTGGGTCCAGTGGCCACATTCTCAATCTTCCGAACAATGAGAAGACTATCTCCAAGCACCCTCTATAACAACAGTTAACAAAGTTAATGGTTGTCATTTGCAAGAATATTACTCACAATAAGAACAAGAATGTAACAAATTCCATAGGCGTGATAGGTTAAAAGACAACATACCCCAAACACAACATGCTTATTATCAAGCCACTCACATTTTGCGCAAGTGATGAAAAACTGCAGTTCACAAAGGCTGAAATCAATATAACTGAGGATACATATATATATATGATGCATGCAACAAAGAAAATTTGCTACAAACTGTTAGTACTCCTATTCAGCCACTCACATTTTGCGCAAGTGATGAAAAACTGCAGTTCACAAAGGCTGAAATCAATATAACTGAGGATACATATATATATATATATATATATGATGCATGCAACAAAGAAAATTTGCTACAAACTGTTAGTACTCCTATTCAAGCACCACTTATTTTCTTTTTGATGTACTAGAGCAAGTGGTTCAGGCATATGAGGGGAGCATAGGTTCGAACTCTTATCATGAGAGTGTGGAAGCCTTTTATACTAGTGACAAAGCGACTTCAACTACCAAGGCTCCAATATTCAAGCACCACTTTGTCCCTCAACATCAGTAGATATTTGATTCTACACATGCCATGTGTGTGAAAGCATGTCTTTGTGGTGCATCTTCACATACATGATGTCATGCATGAATCATCCCTATCTGTTTTAGAGAGATGAAGGCAAATTACCTGACATCCATTAGTGCTTGGTCCACTGTTGGCCTGCAATTGAAGAGATAGAAAGTCAGCCACTTAGTAATTTGTTTTAAACTGAATAACATAAAAGGTTAAATTAAGAATTTTCTTCCTTCTTCCTGGCGGAGTAAAAAAAAAAAAAAAAAAACACAAGCAGGGAGGAGGAAGTAAGGACCATGGAGTTGGGAAGCCTGAGACTTCCATTAAAACAATTGTAATATCTCCAGGGGATATTAACAGTCTTGTGATCTACCATTGCATCACATCAAAATTCACAGCCACAAACAAAAAAATATTACACTTAACACGCATCAGATCAAGCCACATCAGATAAATATTCAAGACTTCAGACACAATGAAAAGGAGCCTATCATAAAGTACAGCCAACAACAATTGAAAGTCAAAGACAGGCATTAAGTAAGGAAAAAAATCTGAAAAGGTAATTAAGAGATAACTACAGCTGGTTATCACAATTCAGAATTGGATCAATTCTACAAAAAGACCTCAAATGCCAGGTGGTTTCGCCCTCCATTGTTCCACATCAAGTTATATAGATCACCTATGTCTCAAAATTTTCCCTTTCTTATTGCTAGACTGAATGTCTGGCCATGAACTTTCAACCACAAGACATGTAAGTGAGAAATTTAAAACTCTAGTTAGCCCTTTGCCACAGTTAATAATGAAAAAAAAAAAGAAAAAAAGAAAAAAAAAAGAGGGCAAAGCAGATGACTGTTCCTTAGGAATTTTTCTTTCTAACATACATCAAATTCCATCTTTGAGATAAAAAGATAAAATTTTCTTCTCAAAGCAAAGCATACCATTGAGAGCAGTCCAGGACCAGTGTGTTTGGCAATGAAATTCTCATCTTCAAACTTGTGCCCATAAATGGAAGTACATCCACTGCCATCACCCTGTAATGCAATATTTTAATTTAACTGCTAATCTTTGGATCCAAAATTATGCAAGCTTTAACAAAACTATCACTAATTTCAGTATTGCCTATGGTGCCTCACACCAGTAACATGTGGACTGTGGAGAAACCAGAGCCAACTGGGAATCTAAAAATCTAAATCTGGGTTAATTGCACAAATGACATCAAAGCACCTAAAATGACAAGACTAAAAAGGAGCCCAGATTCATCCATTACTAGTACAGACCTTCAAAAAATCACCAGCTTGAATCATAAAATCCTTAATCACCCTGTGAAATTGGCATCCCTTGTAACCAACAGGTAGTCCAGCTTTCCTGTCATTCAAATCCAATTCATGAAATGGGTAAGCAGTGATTACTCCTGCAGACTGCATTTGAATTATATAATTTTAACAAAACAATATCATCATTTCCCACAAGCTAGTTGGAAATAAGAGAGCATCTACCTGTACTCTCCAGTGCAGAACTGCCTGCAAGATTTAAGAATATCAAATCAGGAAATTGACCAGAAATGAATGAGCTTTTCAAGAATCGAGATAGATATGGAATTTCTATATATCTGCAGCTTAATTTCAATAGAAACTCATAACCCAAATATGAAAAACGTAAAACCTAAGCTAATTTCACTATTGCAGCCACAGAAAAAGCGACTACGGATTCTTCTCATTCAAAAAGAAAGGCAACTCGGCATGACCTGAAATTTTCGGCGGTTTTGGGAGCAATGTCAGCGAAGAGCTCCATCTTGATGCGACCAGCCGGGATAGACCCGATGGTGATGTCGAAGAACACGATTGGATTTTTGGGGTTCGGCGGCCTCACGTGCCACTCTACTCCTCCTCCCCCTCCTGCTGTGGCCACTCCTGACGCCATCGACGATCAAGAATCTTCTCTCCCGCGGCTTTTACAATCTTCTCTTTGAATTCACAGGGATTAGTATGTTCTTTTGATTTTGTCAGTGGTTTTGTATTGAGTGAAGGGTTTTGGGCAAATTAAGGGGATAAAAAAAATGCTTTGGGGAAAGCGAATTTAGGAGGAATTTCATGGTTAGTCTAAGTCACCCAATTTTAATGAAATAAACATTTTAGTCATTGAACTTATAACCTTAACAAAATGGTAACGCAAACTTTTTTTGGTATACTAGAGAGTTAGCTAGTCAATATTGTAGAGATTTGAGTAACATAATCTCATTATTCAAAATATTGAAAATATAAATACCTTTAAAAACTTAAAAGGATATCTTTTGTTATCTTTTGTAAAGAAATAATTGATAGTTTTAATTAAGAAACATTCTTTTTAATTCAAAAAAAGAATTAAGATTCCATATGTACTATTATTGAGGTCATAAAATGTTCTTTAATAAAACATTATCCCATGTTTTTTCCCATTTTATAGCTTGGCCAACAATAACAATGACAAAACTTCTATATTAAATTAAGATTTTTAATTTCGTGATAAAAATTATTCACTCAATAATTTAAATGATACTTAACATTTCTATTGGTTTAAATGGTAGATGGCTTTGATTTTTTTTGCTAGCTAAACAAAAAATGACTAATAATCAATACATATCAACTTAAAAATTTTTGAATGACCATTTTATTAGAAATATGAATTGGGTGACAAAAATGTCAATTTTGACCAAGGATGGTGACTATCTTGTTAGAGTTATGAATTGAGGGACCAAAATCTTAATTTTGACAAACTTAGGTGACCACCTAATGAGGTCGGATAGACCACAGAAGAAAATCCTAAAATGACATTAAAAGGATATTTTTGTTTATTTTGATTATTGGTGTAAATCTAGAAAAATCACAAATAACATCCAAGCGATGCTGCAGGGTACGTAGGCTAATGAATTCCTGTCCCAGGGATCAAGGTGGAAGTCTTTGTTAGCTCCAGAATCATGTTCAAGTCTTGATACCTACAAGTTTGATATGTCTCATTTCATTTAATTTAATGGTGTATCTCAGTATATCCAATCAAATCCTTAACATAGAAAAAGCAGAAGCCCCACCCTAACTTTAACTCTTGTTGCTTATTTGATTAGAGAATTTATTTTATTAAAAAAATTTTATTGAGAAAATAATTAAAAATTATTATATAAATAATTAGTAAATATTGTATTAAAAAATTAATAAATTTTATTAAATTATTAATTTTTTGCACTTAATAAAAAAAGAATAAAAAAATTAGCCAAAAATGATCAATTAAATCCTTAAGGAGAAAATTTTTTCAAAAAAGTAAAAATTAAAAATATTACGTTAATGTTTAACTTTTATTTATTGTAATATTAATATGTAAAAACATATAAATAATATTATAAGAGAAAAAATTTAAAGAACTACAGGGGGAAAGTTTCCCAACCGAACACCCCCTAATTAAAATTTCAGCACCAACGTTGGTCACATTTTGAATATTTATAGTACAAAATTATGAAATATTTTACACATACACATTATACAATGAAATTACTAGAAACCAAAATAAATGGAATCCATGCATGTTGGAGGTTAATCCCATCTCAATAAACAGACATTGACAATTACCCAGTTCTATCTCTGGCATATATTAACAAAAATTTTATCCTATGAGGCAGACTTGGGTATTTTGTACTGTTTCTTGAGGAATTGTGAGGCCTCTGAATCACTCCTGTGACATAATATTCTCAACAGAGTTTTGCTGTCAGCTCCAAGCTTGCCTCTACTGCCCTGCGCTTCCAGGCCACTTGCAGTCCTCAAGTCGTCTATCAGTTCTCGAGTCTGCAAAAGATAAGGATAGTAAAAGCTGTGTCATACTAATTTATGGGAAGTGCAAAATGATCATCCCTTCAAGACATAGATGATAATTTTGGATTAGCGAAAAAGAAATTTAAGAAACACGAACTTCAGTAAGAACGGTGTTATGAAACAATATCTTTTATTTGTCATACATATCTAGTTAGGGATTTTATTCATTTCCTTCTAATTTTGAATGCTTAAAACCATAGCTTCCATAAAAGGGAAGGCCATGGGCTGTGTTCCATAGGATGGTAATAAAGAGCAAGTGCAGTGATACCCTGAAACCCTCAACATAGAAGTGGAGATATTAATATTGCATTTTGTCTATTTGAACTTTCTCTAGGATTATAAGGTAGTGGCAGCTAATTTGCATAAATCAAGCAAGTCGATCTAAAGCATTTAAGATCTCAGCAGAATAACTTCTCTTCCTTTTTTTTGTTTCTTTAGAACTAACCTCAAATCCATGTAACTTCACCACATCCCGAACACGTGCAACTTGATTTTCAACCACTCCTCGAGGAAGCCCATCACCTCCAGAGATAAAGAACTCCTAGGTAACACAGTTAGATAAATTGTATCAGCTTTCTAGATTGATAAATTTCTTTTCCCATTTTTTGATAGTTTTAGGGAGAAGAAACTCAAATTCAAAAATTGAGAACTCTTTTTTAGAGAAATGTGGTCACGAGTGTAGTAGTTAAGGAGAGCCACAGGCCATAAATTTGGTAAGCTGTTTGAATTGTATGCAAAAGTGAATTTAATGACACTGAAATTATGCATCTAAGTAACTTATGTAGCATCTTACTAAAGGAAAACAAACTTTGTAGTGCTGCTTAACAAGTCTCAAATACAATCTTGCAAGTCAATTTATTCTTTTAAAAGATGCAGTCCTAAAATCGTTGGCCAAAATAAGTGCAAAGTTTTCATGTAGTGAAATCAACCAAAAAAAAAAGGGAAGAGGAGGAAGGAGAAGAAATCTACGAAATTCTCACAATCATTGTCATTGTCATTAAATGATAGCCAAGTATGAATACCTTTAAAATCTCCAAATCTTCTTCCAATAGTTTAGCATCACTGGGGAAGAAAAGACGCAATGGACCTCCATCTAACAAAACACGAAGTAACCCATCCTGGCAAAACAAACACTTTATTATTATTTCAGGAACATCTACAGAACATGGTGGAAGATAGGAAGTGAGGCACTGACTAGCGAAGCTTGAAGAAGACTTGTTACTACCCGATCCCTTAGTGGCTCTACAATGATGCCACATAGTTGATTCAGTTCCTGCAAATTTTAACAATAAAGGATAGCATGATCTGGGCTGGGCATTAATGAAATAAATTTCTTTCAGAAGATAAGCGCAATCCTGGATAAAACCTAAACTAGAAAGTTTAGCCACAATATTTAATCTTGCCAAGTTTGAGGAAATAATGGTAATAAAAAATGCATGACAGTAAAGCATAATCAAAATTCATCCTACTAATGGGATAAATCTCACCATATCAAGTGGTTCAATAACTGCTTCCAACCTAGATTGAGAAACACTAGGTTTATACAAATTATCAATAAGTGGATCCCTTAAATCCCAGAAAATAATCTTAGTTCCTGCAACATCCAGAAAATGTGTTAACCATAGACAATCTTTGTTTCTAGAGGAAATAGATTAAGAAAAGCACAACAGTTCGCACCAGTAAACTCACAGATACGATCAATTGCAGCATTAATATCTTTTCTGCTACCATCAAATGTTTCCTTCTGAGTGAAACTTTTAGATCTCTCATCCATGGATTTCCCTATACAAAAACATTAGTCCAACAGGCATATAATCAAGTTACCATTTGGACGAAACTCAGCAGAAATCTGTTTGGTGAGTCTCAATCAAAAAAATATTAAATAGTTGTCTAGAAAACAATAATATATACGAAGACATCCAGGAAGAAAATAAGCAGTCAAAGACCAAGTGATCTTATTTTTACAAGTTGATTTCTGATATCTTTGAACACCAAAGATGTTAGCTCTAGCTGTTGAAGTTTCATAGCATTGAGCGGTGTGTATGTGCATGTTGTGTGGCTCTTGTTTGTGAGTGCAACTGGAGAATGAAAACAAACAGTGTCAATCTTGAGACATACTGATGCTTAATTTTTCACGGCGCTTGTCCTTTGTCCATCGCTCCCACATGCTATCTTCCAACCTGTTCAGCTGACTGATTGCATACTGTCATTAGCAAAGAAAGACACTTCAGAGCGCACTTTTATAGACACTTCAGAGCGCACTTTTATAGACACTTCAGAGTGCACTTTTATAGACACCAGCAAATAAGTTTTTATATGAAAAAGAATATAAGGATAATAATTGTTAATTAACTAGAAGTTACGGCTCCCAGAAACTACGTTATGGTGGGGCAATGTCTTCATTTTATACAATGTAAGACAATCCAAAATGTATTATTTCTTTAACTATCAATAAAGAAGAAAGTTCTTGAAGTTTTCTTCATAATTATGTTAGGATGGTTTGAAAAAAAGACAAAAGGACAAGTGAAAAACGAATAAAATGCATTGAAAATAACCTTAACCATAATAGCAAAGCCTGTATGCAGACTGTTAATATGTCATTACATCTGCCTTACCATTGTGGAGATAGCTGAAAGGGATGAAAATTTTCAGAATAGAAGTAAAATCCAACTGGAAGGAAAAAAATGTAGGTAAACAGTCCTCAAATTATAGGTTTATGATTACCAACCATACAGGTTATGTAAATCAGATTTACAAAACAGCTAGCTTTTGTATTTTTATTGGCCACTAAGTATTCTAATATATACCATCTGTTCCGCTGACACTCATTTTCTGCTGAATTGAAAAGGGAACTGTGGTAATATAACTGTTATGCTATTATTACCAACATATTTCAACTCTATTAATTCAAATCTGGAAAGGGTATAAAGCCTACAGAATCATCAGGGATCAGGGATCAAGATGGTATTACCCTTTGCCTCCACCCCCCACCCCCCCTCTCCCAAAACTCCATTTCAACTCTATTAAATGGCAACCAATTTAAAGGATAATGATCGAGATATGTAGACAAGGAAATGAGAAGACTGAACTCACATATAGAGTATTTAACTGAACACAGAGCACTGATGTTGTCAGAACATTAATTTCGGTTGACTTTCTCTCATCAGGCAGCCTAGGGTCAAACAGTTCCTTCTTCACAAA